TAGCGCTACTCTTATAGATAATATTTTTACAAATAATTTATCTTCTAATATTTCATCGGGTATATTTTACACTGATGTGACCGACCATTTACCAGTATTTCAGATAACGGCTAACCATAACCTTAATCATAATACAAATAATAATAATATTCATAGATATGTTATCAATAAAAAAAACATAAATTGTTTCATGCAAGATCTAGATAACACAGTCTGGGAAGATGTGTATAATTGTTCAAATGCCGATATAGCTTATCAACACTTTTTGAAACAATTTCTGTCCAAATATGAGAAAAACTTCTTAGTAAAAAATATTTCTCTAAAAAAACATGCAATTTGTAAAAAACCTTGGATGACAAAAAAAGTGTTAAAGATGGTAAATAAAAAGAACATAATGTATAAATTATATTGTAAACATCCATCAAACAATAACAAGATGAGATATAAAAAATGTCGAAATAGTGTAAATAAATGTCTAAAAGAAGTTAAAAGATTACATTATTTCAATGAATTTAAAAAACATAAAGGTAATATGAAAAAAACTTGGGATGTTATTCGAGATATTCTAGGAAAATCTTTAAATAAAACACCTGCTAGCTTCAATGTAGATGGTCGTGACATATATGATAGTAAAGATATTTCTGATATATTTAATAACTTTTTTATCAACATTGGTCCATCTATGTCAAGTACTATTCCAGTTGATAGTGACATATCTTATCAATCTTTTTTACCACCTCCCTGCGAAAAGTCATTATATTTTAAACCTGTTACTGAAAACGAATTAATCAATATTGTCAGCGGAATAAAGAAGAGTAAAAGCACAAGTATTGATAACATAAGTTCCATTGTTGTAAAGAAAATTATATTTTACATAACCAAACCGTTACTTTATATCTTCAATCTTTCACTATCAACTGGAATAGTTCCTACAAATCTAAAAATTGCAAAGGTAATCCCAGTGTACAAAAAGGGTGATAACCGCAATATATTGAATTACAGACCCATTTCTATATTACCTTTTTTCTCAAAGGTATTAGAAAAAATTGTATTTACACGTGTTCATAGTTTCCTTAGTGATAATGTAATATTGAATTCATGCCAATATGGTTTTAGGAAAAATAGATCGACTGAAATGGCATTGATTGATTTGCATAATTATTTGATTTCATGTATTGCAAAAAAATGTCACACTATCGGATTATTTTTAGATTTAAGCAAAGCTTTCGACACAATTGATCATAATATAATGCTTTATAAGTTAAGAAATTATGGATTTCGCGGGCTTGTTTTAACTTGGTTTGAGAATTATTTAACAAATAGAAGTCAAGTGGTATATTTCAACGATGTTACTTCAAATAATTTACAAATTGTGTGTGGTGTACCACAGGGTTCAATCCTGGGTCCGTTGCTTTTTTTACTCTATATTAATGATCTTTCCAATTGCTCATCTGTTCTTAAACTTGTACTCTTTGCTGATGATACCAACATTTTGATTAGTCATAATGATATTACACAGTTACAAATTATGCTTCATACTGAACTACAAAATGTATCTACATGGTTCAATTTGAATAAGCTATCTATTAATGTAGAAAAAACTGTATATATGTACTTCTATAACTTAAAAAGTAACAAAAACAATGTACATGATCTGGTGGTTAAAATCAACAAACTTGATATAAAACGAGTCTTTTCTACCAAATTTTTAGGTATTGTAATTGATGAAAATTTATCTTGGAATAGCCAAATTCTTGCCGTAACTAATAAGACTTCAAAAGGTGTTGGTATCATTAGCAAACTACGTTATCTCTTACCTAAAGAAATTCTTATTCTACTATATAATACATTGATTTTGCCTCATCTTAGTTATGGAAATATTGTTTGGGGAATTACATATCCATCAAAGTTAGATAAACTTTTAAAATTACAAAAGAGAGTAGTTAGATGCTGTACTTTATCTGATTTCCATGCACATTCTAAACCTTTATTTCTCAAACTGAAAGTACTTGATATATATCAGCTTAATAAGTATTTAGTAGGATTAATGCTCTTTAGATATGTTTACACATCACTGCCTGAAAATCTGCAAATGCTATTAACTTTTAACAATGAAATCCATAACTATAACACTCGTCATAGAGAGAAATTTCATATATTCAAATGTACAACAAACTTTGTGTCCTTTTCTTTTAAACATACTGCACCTCTTGTCTGGAATGCACTCCCTCAGGAAATATGTCAAACTAGAAATTTTAATGGATTTAAAAGGAAACTCAAATCTTATTTATTAGCGAGTACATAACCCCTGTATACTATTTTATGTGATAAAAAGAATTTCATTTTTTTGTTTTTTGTTCCTTCTTCACTTATATATATATATTTGTTTCGTTTTGTATTGTTTTGTTATTGTCCAGTAAATTATTTATGTACATACATGTAGTTATCTATTGCAAAAATATTTTAATTCAAACCTTTGGCACAGCCTCGACAAGTTCAAATTTATTTGAACTTTTGCAGTGACCCAAATTCCATTTGATTTCTTTACCTTTTTGATTAGTGACATTCTGATGTTTGTATAACTTGTATTTCTTTTTCTTTTCTTTTTTACACTTGTATTATCTTTTATATACATATATGTTTTTTATTGAATGGAATGAATAAATCTTGAATCTTGAATCTTGAATCTTGAATCAGAATCAAACTACATGCAACTCCTCAATCGATCACGATCCAAACCACAATATTATAATTATTGGAAGATTTGCAATAGATATGGGTCGCTCTTGACTCATTACATCAAAAAGCTCTCAGGTACTCTCAAATTACTTCATTTAAAAACATTCTTGTGACAAAAAAACGATGCTTACATGTTAAAAAACAATGCTCTGTTGAGAGTCAAAAGGGCATTGACTTCCTAAACACTCTTCTGTTCCTCAATAGACAATAAATATTTGTTTACAATGTTATGGTCTTTCCGAAGCACTTAGCTGGATCAAACATCAGGATCAGACACTATACCCTTTCATTTATATTAAAATCAGTTTCTGTCGTGTAAACAATTGTAAACGAGGCATTGCAGTACCTACAAATTACGACAAAGCGCATTATGGATCTCTTATGGCAGAGATCAATGACAATGCTATGCATACTGTGAACTCAAAAGATTATCATCCAATTATGGCATTAGGTATTGACATGCCAAATATACTAACCACTTGAGGTTCCATAAAGTTATACAGGATTGGAGAGTACTGTTTGGATTGGTGTTTATGGTACTAGTACACTGCTTGGATTGAAACATTAAGGTCTGTTCAGATATGGCGTGGTAAACCGCCGCAAAACGCTATTGCGTTTAAAAAAAAAAGTGTGAATGACTAGCAACTGTGCGCAATAAAGGACTTTTACGTCATCAGTGAGCTTTGTAATATAAGATACAGAAATATGAAGCTCGTTTACATTTTCACATCGTTATTACAAAAGAAAGTTGAGGTGTAGCCTTGTCATATCTGAACGAGCCTTTATCCGTGTAATAGCTACTGTCGCATGCTAGTTGGTGGTTTTAAAGAAACTGATAGAAGTCAGACAATATAAACTACAGATCTAATCATTCAGTTCCTTGGAACTTCATGTAGGACAAGGTTAATTGTGTGACAGCAAACTTAATTATTGCTATACATTTATATTGTCTGAATCAACAATTATCAAGTGTTCACTGGCTTTCTTTCACTCCCTCTCCCTCTCTCTTTCTTTATATTCTCTCTCCCAAAATCTCTCTTTCTCACCCCTTCAACTCTCTCTAAGTTCTTCCCTCTCTCTCTTTCTTCCTCTTCCCCCTCCTCTCCTTCCCATCCTTTCCACCTCTCCCACCCTCTCTCTCTCTGTTTCTCTCCCTTTCTCTCTCCTCTTCCTCCTCTACTTGCTTCCCCACTTCTCTCCTCTCCCCCTCTCTATCTCTCCATCTTTCTCTTCCTTCCCCTCCTCCTCTCCCTCTATCTCTCTCCTTTTCTCTCTCCTGTCTCCTCCCCACTTCTCCCCTCTCTATCTCTTCCTGAAAGTGAGAACTTCTTATCCAAAGCATTAAACCCACCGACATGTCTTTCTTTACATGATAGTTTCACATCTCCTGCAGATAAGGCCATTTTCTGGATGTAACGTCCTCTTGAGCCTATAGAAACAGCGATGCCTCTCATAGCAGTCAATATATCTACATGTATTTGCATCATATCACACAAGAGCTGTTATTTGCGCAAATTCTTGAGGAACACATCATAATTTGGAAAGCTCAGCTATAGGCAAACCAATGGTGGAATTGTATTTGGAGAATTCCACTCAAATTCTTTCATACCTCTCTGTGTCCCTCATGACAGTGTCAATGGTGCTAACTTGGTTGATTAATATCATGGCGTTATATTGTAAAGCACTGTAACCAACTGCCCAGGCTCTATTCATATAATGTATATACATGTATATGGCATAACGTCAGTAAATTTTGCGCAAATTCTTGAGGAAAACAATGTAATTTGAAAATCAAACAAACAGTGAAAATTGTATCCTGGAATTCAACTCTATGCTTTCATACCTCTCCCTGTCCCCCATGACAGTGTCAACAGCACTTAATTGGTTGATTATATCATGGCGTTATTATATTATGTCGTTACGATGTACAGCACTGTGACCAACTGCCCAGGCTCTATTCTTATACTGTATATACTTCTCTTATTAAAAGTTTTTTTGTTATACTGGTACCCTGCTCTGTAATGCGCCTGCCACATTGAAAAATATTTCAGGTGTAATAGCTTCATGTAATAGCCTATAGTGGAGGCCTTCTCATCCTACATCCATGACATACATCAATTTCCTGCCATCTACTGCATCATTTTACAGCGTGAATCACTTTTTAACAGCCCATGATCCTGTAATTCCTGTTATAACATGGCCTCGCCAATTATTTCTATTCCATATCCCTCTCCTCCCCCCCCCCCCCTCACTGTCCTCATGTCCCTACCCCCTCTTCATGTAATGGCCCCCTCCCAATTCTCGCTACCCCAAATAGCGATTCTGCCGAGATCCGGGGAAAATCCTGAAAACGCGCATTGCATTATGGGATAGCTTTTCGACATTACAGCTTCCTGTGCAGGCGTTCGTGATCACAACCCTCTCTTTCACGGTAGAGTTTAACGGCCTTTTGTGCTAAAGTCACTAATTCTGCCCGAAGCTTTCCATTGCATATTATAATCTGTACAAATTACACTGATTGGCATCGATTTTAGCGTGCGTGAAAACTCTGCACAGCGAACACAGGCGCTAGCGCCAGCGGGATGGGACTCTATACCGGAAGTTGTAGTGACGACCCGAGAGAGTGAAAATTACCTCGTCTCGCGAATTTCGAGATTTTCGTACCTATTTAGGGTAGCGAGAATTACTATCAAATGATTTGTAACCTTCTATGGTGTCATCTCACAGCTAATAAAACTCCCATCCATAATCCTGTTACCCAATTATTTCACCTCCCGCTCCTCTCACCCCCTCCCCGTCCTTGTGTCCCGACCCCCTCCCACTATTAAATGATTTGTAGCCTTCTATGGTGTCATCTCACAGCTAATAAAACTCCCATCCATAATCCTGTTACCCAATTATTCCCCTCCCCCCCCCCCACCACCCTTGTGTTCCTACCCCCTCCTAATGGGCCCCCTCGCACCATCCAATGAATTGTAACCTTCTATGGTGTCAACTCACATTTAATAAAAGTCACATTTATAATCCTGTTACCCAATTATCCCCCCCCCTCCCTCTCCCACTGCCCTTGTGTCCCTACCCCCTCTTAATGGGCCCCCTCCCACTATCCTTGATTTTTAACCTTGTACGGTGTCATCTCACAGTTAATAAAAATTCAAACTCACCTCCATAACCCTGTACCTCAATTATCCCCCCCCCCCCTCCACCACCATTCTCCCTGGCCTCTCCCACTATACAATGATTTGTAACCTTCTACGGTGTCATCTCACAGCTAATAATTATAACTCACATTCATAACCCTCTTACCCAATTGTTTCCCCTGCCTCCCCCCTCCCCCCCCCCCACCATCCTCTGCCCTTACCCCCTCCTAATGAACCCCATCCCACTATCAAATGATTTGTAACCTTCTATGGTGTCATCTCACAGCTAATAATTATAACTCACATTCATAACCCTCTTACCCAAATATTTCCCCTCCCTCTCTTTTCTACTCATCCCACCAACAACCCCCCATTCTTGTGTCCTACCCCTCCTGATGAACCCCCTCCCACCATCCAATGATTTGTAACCTTCTATGGTGTCATCTCACAGCATGAATGAATTCCTAACGACCCATGTTCATCCCTGTATCATGTCCCTCTCATTAAACACCTCCTTGTTTGTTTTCCTCCGTCTCTCACACTCCACTAATTTCGATCGGGATCCTTCTCCAAACAACCCCTGCCTTTCAAAACCACTTCAATTTCATCTCCTCTCTCGGTCATTCAGTTTCATTTTTACTTTTCCCTTATTTCTTTTCCTTCTATTTCTTGCACTACAATTCTCTGCTTATTCTCTTTAAAAAAAATTAATCTCATTAACTTTCACCTATTTTTATCGTGTTTCTGCTTTAATTTGAAGTATCCTTGTAAAGATATGTACTATCCCTTCTCTCTCTCTCTCTCTCTCTCTCTCTCTCTCCCATCCTGTATAAAATATCTTCTCTTCTCTCCTTTCATGTTCTATCCCTCTATAACTCTCTCTCTCTCTCATTTTGTGTACTATTTATTCTCTTCCCCTCTCCTTTCCTTATATATGCTATCTCTCTCTCTCTCTCTCTCTCTCTCTGCTTCTATCCTTTCTCCAACTACCTTTATATATCTCTATCTCTCATCCTGCATCATCCACGATCTCACCACATCCGCTATCCCTTTTAATGCAGCGTTGGGTTGCAGTGTAACTGCATTCTGGTACATCCAGGGAAACTGCATCGTATCACATGACCTGTCTCCATGACCCATCCCTTGGTCTACCAAGCAAGTTAATCGCATTTCTACATTATATGTCGGCTGCTGACAGCAAGAAGGGCACCTCACGTTTCCTTTCACAAATCTACATTGGATTGAATGCCCTTCTAGCTCTCACCAGGGGGGTGTTTCACAAAGATCCTAAGTAGAACTTAACTTTAAGTTGGACTTAAAAATTATGGACAGCCATTGGAGTCTTAAAATGAAATATATTCAAAAGCAGAAATTCAAGTATTTTAGACTTTTTATAAATTCAACATCCAGAACATGAAATCTCCTTGATGATAGACAATATGAATGATTTGAATAAACAATTAATGCCTTTCAAAATAACTTTTACAAAATATTTTCAAAGATGCTAATGGCTTTCCATAATTTTTAAGTCCAACTTAGTGTTAAGTTCTACTTAGGATCTTTGTGAAACAAAATTCTCCAGCTACCGTAAGCATACAGTTTGAGATGTTTGGAATATGATGTGGGAGGAAATATTAAAAACTGCAAAACTCAAATTAGATATACATGTATACACGTAAATTTAACAAAAACAAAAAGAGAACATCAAATATAACTTGGGAAATTATTATCACAGTATTAAGATTGACCTGCAAAGTCACCTCAAAATTTCTCATTCTCTTTAATAAAGAAAATATAACTAGCTTCACATCTCATACTCAGAATCTTAAAATACTCATTGATATATAAGAAATGTGTTAAAGCTTATCTGCCGTAGTTTACAGGAGGGATTAGACCGCTCTGCAAGGTCACTGGGCAGGTGGTTATCTCATCAACTCAGCTCTCAGTTAACATAAAAAAAAGAGGATCATGGGGGACCAATGGTCACCGATTAGGTATTGTTTGTTATATAGAGGGCGCATGTAGCTACCAGTAGTGCAGTGGGCCTTTAAGCCTAAGGGCAAGACTAAACACAATATCGATGATGCTATTAGAAGCACATCTCTGCCATTTGTTTGACTACGTTATGATGAGCAAACCCCTAACGTCTTAAAGAACCTCCCTTTGAAAATAGCCAGACACTTGATCACCACCTACTCTTACGCTCTTAGAACATCAATCTCCATGCTGCTGGATCAGGGGGGTGTTTCACAAAGACTAAGATCAACTTTAAGTTGGACTTAACTATGGCAGGCTCTTCATGCCTCTGGTTGCTCTCACCATTGGTCTCTCAATTATGATATTTTTTCCTTCAAAAATGAATATTAAAAAAATGTAAATTCTGTAGGATTGTGACCATGATTTGTAGGTCCCTTGAGAGACCAAGGCCAGTAAATGGCGAGAGCAAACGGTGGCATGAATGGCCTGCCATAGTTAACTCCAACTCAAAGTCGATCTTAGTCTTTGTGAAACACTCCCCAGGAGTCGTGTCTTCATTTCATTTGACCGAGTTTCCAATCTACAATATAACCTGCTATATAAAGGCTTGTTCAGATATGTCGAGGTAAACCGCAGCAAAAAAAGCTATCTCTCTATCTTAACCTGTTGACTACTGGATTCTGTCATCCCCATAGGCTTGATACCAGGGACCCGTTTCACAAAGCCTTTTTTCAATGACAAATGACCAAAATCAGTGACAAATCCGCTGATAACCAATCAGAAGCAAGGATTTCAGTAGCTTATAACAAAGACAGACACTTATCACTGATGACAAGTTTTGTGAAACGGGCCCCAGAACCACCCAGTTCCAGAAGGCAGGGGGTTAAACTGGAGCTTATTTAGGCTAATGGGTATCCACCTACAAATGTATGCTGTAAAGGGAGCTTCATCCGCTGCCTATGTAATCACCACAGTGCTATTTGCGCGGTTCCATTTTCAAGAGTCGACTCACCACATTCTAAGTTACAAGCACATACAACATCTTCTTACATATATTACACATACTCGCCCCTCATTCATCCTATCTACATATATGGACTTACAAGGCTTACTTTGAATCATCTGGTCATCGGGTGGTCGCGTTACCAGACCTTTGTGATAAACATGCCCTTTTATCAACGAAATGTCGGGGTAATGTTTGTGAAATAAACCCCTCTCATCTACAAATTGTTCGGTCCGATTTACCCGACACTTTGTGAAAACTCTACAGCAAATCTACCAAAAGATCACGTCCATAACATGCACTTCCACAAATCCATAAACATTTACGACACAAATGCGACACAAATTACGCATGCACACGGACTTGTGATAAAATTATATAGGCTTATGCATGAATTCCCAATTTTAAAGCAAATTCCAGTACAAGTTTTAGGCCTACATGCATACATCACATTGTGTTACTGAATTCCATATTTACGTTCTGAACCACTCCATAAGACAATCTGTAATGTATGTGCATAGCACATCTTATATTAAACATACACAAGCCTAGTAATCCACCCTGATACATTCTGTTAAACACATAAGCATACTGCACACCACATCTTGTAACATAACAACATACATACGGTACGCATCGAGTCACCACCAACACATTCTGTAACAAATATGGAGGGTATAAACGTTCTTATTGGTCATTGATAACCCGCTCCGAGGATCAAAACCAGCCTAGGAACGGAACAGATTCAGATATGTCATTATTGTTATAAACATATACCATTCCCGACATATACTAAAGGTCACATACAATCATTTGCATACCACAGACAGTACATCACCCACAATTAATAACAGAACTCTGTGACATTGTTGTAATATACATATACCATCCCCGACATATACTATATGTAACATACAACCATTTGCATACCACAGACAGTACATCACCCCCAATTAATAACAGAACTCTGTGACATTGTTGTAATATACATATACCATCCCTGCCATATACTATATGTAACATACAACCATTTGCATACCACAGACAGTACATCACCCCCAATTAATAACAGAACTCTGTGACATTGTTGTAATATACATATACCATCCCCGACATATACTATATGTAACATACAACCATTTGCATACCACAGACAGTACATCACCCCCAATTAATAACAGAACCCTGTGACATTGTTGTAATATACATATACCATCCCTGCCATATACCATATGTATTATGTAACATACTACTCATTGCATACCAAAGACAGTACATCACCCCCAATTAATAACAGAACCCTGTGACATTGTTGTAATATACATATACCATCCCTGCCATATACTATATGTAACATACAACTCATTGCATACCACATACAGTTCATCAACCCCAATTAATAACATAACAGTACCCTGTGTCATACACACACACTACCACATTTGTAACATAGACATTCATACTAACTCCTAGACATCCTACAATACACGAGCACACCATCAGAACCAGATCATGCAACGTGCACACGCATACAACCTCAGGCAGATCCCGTCACAGAAGTGTACATCCATCTTACTTTCTGCAACATACATCAACCTACCACATACTACCCTCATCCTTTCTACCAACGATCTTATGTTCGACCCGACCTACTTCGGGGAAAAGATAGATTTTTGCTAAATCTCTTGTGCACTCTTTTTACACCTTTTACTAGATTTCCAATCACGGTGTTTTGTTCAGGCTAGCGACCCAGATT